GCAAACACAACATTTATTCAATGTATTATGATGATAATGATGGGAAATGCAAGCACTTCAGGTCACAATATGGCGGTCTAAAATAGATACTTTCTCGTCTCATCACCCCTCCTCCTCACGAGACTTTTTGAGAGGAGATAGTTTGCCTCTTCTCAAGTTGAGAGACCTCAGCTCTTGATATTATCTCACATGCGTGGCAACTCGTCTTCGTTGGAGGAGAGCGGAGTTTGGGAATTGGTACTTGAGAGAACCAGATTCACGTTTGAACGCTTCACCTTCCTACAGTTTTCCATCCTCTCAATCATCACTTTCCCCGTATGAGGCTAATAAAGCGAAGTAAATGTCACTTTTGCTATAAGCCATGAGATAGAGAGCCCTTGTTTGCGAAAATGGCACGTGTGATGCCATGAGCAACATTGTAATATAAGGCTCGAAAGTTTGAGCCCTTTTAAGTAGGAGTACCACCATCGAGTTCAAAGTTTTTAGCCCATTTTTTAGAGTCCCTTCATACAAATGTTGCGTGTCTTGGTATCACTAGTCGATAAGATTCCAACTTCGGTTTATCTTTCACATTGAGGTAGGGGTAGAATTCCTTGTCTCCCATTGACATCGAAATGCTAGTTGTTTTGCTACCTACAATCTATAATGTCTACCATTGCAAAGGTCCATCAAGCCAAATTATACATATTTATACCCCTCTTTCGTGGCCGTTTGTCTTGTGTTTCATCATCCTTGGAGTCATTTTATGCTAGATTTTGCATGTTTGAGTATTTTTCAGGTTCTAGTTGGCGAGATTGGCAAAAGGAACAAAATTCGGACAAAAGGGAGCCAAAACTGGACAAAATGGTGAAAAGTATCAAAGTTCACGGCTCAGGGCATTTCCTCACAGTCAGGGCATGACATCTACATCAACATCGTGAAGATTGAATGGAATCTCATAAGGAAAAAGATGTCTCGCGTGCTAGTGCAAATGTTACGGACGACAAACCGTGACACCAACACTAAAAGCGTGAGGTGTGCAAAGTCCTAGAAAGATGAAGACATCTCACGGCCTCGGGCTGCGAGGATTTAACCTAGACTGTGAAGATTGTTAGTGAAATGGTGCCATCCAGTCGAACTCATGGTGGAGCTGCAAAGTTCACGGTCGTGACGTGCAACCATGAACTTTGCACTTCCTGACTATATAAGGGAGCAAGTGTATATGTTGGTAGAGGGATAAAGTGACGAAGGGGATCGCTAGTGAGAGAATTGGAGCTTCAAATCACAATTGGAGTGCAAATCCATCACTAAGGGTTTAAGATCAAGTGGCAAGAGTAAGAACCCAACATTCTAGGATGTTTCATGCTCTTTATTTGGTGTATCGCTATCTCTCACATCATGAGCTAAACTCTTTATCACTTCGATGTTGTGGAATTTTAGTTGTATGTGTTAGGTTAGGCGAATGATTGATTTTCTTGATTTGATTGACTCTTGATATTATACTGATTTAAGGTATTGCATGAATTGTGTGGGTATTGTTCAATTCTTCTCAATTATGGCTATTAACCAAAGGTAGAAACGATCCAATTAGGTTAGATAGAGTACCTACCTTAACCTTCGTTGTGGGTCGATGAACCGAGCATGAAAACAAGCTATAATGTCGTACCAGATGGCATTCCAATAGAGGAAATCTATTAGGCACCTCAACCTCCACATATACTTTTAAAAAAACCCATAGAACACGCCCCTCACCACCTGATTAAGTGGTTGTGAGAGACCGTAGGAAATATGATCATGGTCTTGGGACCAAGTAAATTTGTATCCAAACTACAACGTGATCACATCTCAATTACTATAGTTTGTCTTCACTTACCCATTACTCCTTATGTGTTAGGGGAAGGAACTAAACCCGAGATATCGTTAGAGGGGCTATATCTCTCTTAATAGAACAATGGAAGAGCTAGGTTGAAAATAGGAGGGGCTATATCTCTCTCAACTTTGAAATATAGCTAACATTACATGTAAAATTGGTAGCAAATTTAGAAAATAGAGTACTCCATAAGGCATTAGCCTCCTTCCCCATTAGCATCTCATTCAAATTCCTAGTTTCGCCACTGAATTTATAAGCATAGTTCTATCATCCAAGCCTAAAATCGCCTGGTGTTGTTTTCGACGTAGTTATTGAATCCATATATTAATATCGGTTTATCACGAATTTCTTTTTCGACATGGTTTTTGCTTTTCCGTCCTACTAGGAAAATGTTTCGAACATATATTATTGTGTATACTACTTAGACAGGCCTAAGTTCAGGTCCTTAAGGCTTCTTTTTTAAGGAGAATCTTAAAGTGTTTTGATTGGCTTACTCAATTTTAGGTAGTTATTGGGGAGTTATTAGTTAAATAGTTGTTAGGGGTATTAAGGAGACTACAAAACAATTAAAAACTGCAACCCTAACGCACGCAAACGTCTCTTTATTGTTCCTTCAACAAACGTCCAAGTCGTCCCGCTGTCTGTTTATTTTTCCTCCAGTCGGCAGGCGAACGGTCTCTCCCGGTCGTCCCTTCTCCGGCCGGCGATTCTCAGCAAGAGTTCTCCGTCGAGGTTAGCTAGCTCCCGCTGCATTCGTCGTTCAAGTCCACCAACGCAAAAAACAGCTGCCTTTGTCGCCGTCGCTGCCTGCTCTTCACCGTCGCCGGCAGGTGATTCTCCTCCCGTTCCTGTTTTACACCTCGCCGTCGCTGCCAGCTCCCGTTCCCGTGGTCGTCCCAATCCACCATCGCCGATTCCATAGCCGTCGTTGTCGAGCCCTGTCCCTTCTCCCACTTCAAGTCGAACGTTCTCTCTCCACAGATCCGTCGCTATCTTCCCATTTCCGTCAAGCAAGTTTCTACGACCCGTCGTTTGCCAGTCGTCTTTTGTCCTGGCCGTAGTTTGTCCGTCTTTATTCTGTTGAAAGACTGGTCGCTTCTTCTCTCAGTCAACAACCGTCGTCGAGTTCACCCGCTCCCGCCGCTTGTCGTCGTCAGCATGTTGCGTCTGTCTCTTGTCGTCAGTCACTACGTCCGACGAAGCCTCATCCGGCGTCACTCCTGTCCATTGTTAATATGTATTTCAGAAGTAGCATTTTAGTTACCATTGTTAAGTTTTTTCTTTCCATTTTTAATGTTTAATTGGTAAGTTAACAGTCTTCTTTTTACCCCTATTAACTTTTTATTATTAACGTTTTTGTTGCTAATCTGTATTCCATTAGTAGCATTTTTGTTATAATTATTAACGTTTTAATTTTCAGTTAGTAAAGTTTTGTTACCAATTCATAGTTTTTCAATTTTAAGTTAGTGACTTTTTTACACCACTATTAACATTTTTCTTATCATTGTTAACGTTTAATTGTTAAGTAAGCAACATTTTTGTCACCACTATTAACTTTTTATTATTAATGTTTCGTTGCTAATGTGTGTTTCTTTAGTAATATTTTTGTTATCATTGTTAACGTTTTAATTTTAAGGTAGTAACATGTTTTGTTACCATTATTAATGTATCCTTATTAAAAAATTTATTATAATTATTAAGAAATTATGTCGTTATTATTAATCGTAGTTTTTTCAGTTGTTAAAACACCACGACATTGATGCTTTAAACTGATGATTGTTTTGCAAACTTGTTACAACTATAATTATTAACAAATAATGTCATTTTTATTAATCATCCCTTTTCGAAATATTAAACCTCAAAGACACTGAAGCTTTACATGCAAAGATGATTTTTAACTTATTAACTTTAATTATTAACAAACAATGACACCATTATTAATTACCCCTAGTCTCATTATTAACGCGTCAACGTATTTACAGAAGAGATTTTTCCACCTTGATTATTAACATATATATTATAATTGTTAAGAAGTAATGTCGTCGTTATTAATCATGTTTTTCCAGTTTTTAGAACACCACGACGTTGACGCTTTAGACCGGTGATTATTTTGTAAACTTGTTACAATTATAATTATTAACAAATAATGTCATTTTCATTAATCATCCCTTTTCAAATTATTAAACCTCAAAGACGCTGAAGTTTTATATGCAAAGATGATTTTTAACTTATTAACTTTAATTATTAACAAACAATGACACCATTATTAATTACCCCTAGTCTCATTATTAACGCGTCAACGTATTTCTACTTCAATTATTAATAACACTGTCAGGTAAACACTGAAGAAATTTTTCCACCTGGATTATTAACATTTATACTATAATTATTAACAACTAATGTCGTTGTTATTAATCATCCTTTTCCAGTTATTAATAACAATGTCAACAAAATAGGTAAAATTACGTTATTAACATAAAATTATCAAACAAAACATGCTTTGGCAATTCCATGGAGTCGGTATGCGGGCGGGACGAGACGCCGAAGAAGCAGAGCAATGGTAACGGCAATTCCATGGAATCGGTATGCCGGCAGGACGAGACGCCAACGAAGTAGAGCAGTGGTAACGACCGACGACAAAAAGGCAAGGAGTTCTCTGTGCGGTTGCTAACGGCGGAGTGGAGGCGAGACGACGGACGACTACGGCAGGTCAACGAGTCGGCGGAGAGCAGGAGAGAAGCTGCTTGTGACGGCACGTCTCCAGCGAGGCATGACGACGAGTTTTGCAGAGAAGCGGTTTTAGGGCTAGGAGGAGAACAACGCACGAGAAAACAATCCAATCCGCATTTTTGTCAGTTTCCGCAATTTCCCTTTTAATTAATAATATTATTAACTATTTAGTATATTCCAGTCTTACCCTTGAACGTATTAGGCAGGTAGTTACATAATGATTACTAATCACTCTCTCCCCTTCTCCTATTGGTTGGAAGGAGTTTAAGATCTTCCTTAAAAAATAGGCCTTAAGGACCTGATCTGACCCGGATAGTACTACATTAGTTCATTTAGAAACCCTATTGCCTCTAATTCTATGAGTGAAGACATCAAATATAGAGAGACGGAGACAGCAAAATATATACATTTATAGTACATCCAACAACAAACAAAGAACATACCCAAAAATTTGTTCACAGAAAATCCATCAAACTTTCAGTCAAGCCCTTAAGACCACCACTAAACACTTCACCAATCTTTTTCTACTTACAAAGATGGATATATATAACATTTATACATGAACAACAACCTTTCCCTTCCTACCCTCTCATTGCACACCACACACAAACAGAAGTAGTAATACACACAAAAATATCGGTCGTATAATCCTTCGTTTGTTGCCCATGCACATTTTTCTTTTGTCTAATATTTCTCTTACCACCAACAAATTAAGTTCCTTTTCACAAACTAACTTGATCCAAAAGATGATTAATCCTTAGGTTGGACTCTTCACAAGTCATATCAGGATCATTAATTAACTATCATAGACATAACGAAATCATCAATTAAGTAAACACCGTATCACGCCTCTTCTTTGGGTTAGCTTCTGGGTTCCCTTTTCTCATCATTGCAACAAATTCATCATAGTTTATTCGGCCATCCTGTATGAGAGAGAGAAAGAGCATTGTAATTAGTTTCCAAATTATGCAAAAAAAAAAAAAAATTAAACACTAAATGAGAGAAGTTTTTTTGTCTAGATCCTATAACGACGTACATTATCACTATCAACCTCAGACAGGATGTCCTTGAGCTCTTTGTCATCATTGATACCAAACTCGATGAGAGCTTGCTGAAGCTCTTCCGTAGTAATATAGCTAATGACAACATAATACAAAATGAAACAAAATTAATGATGAATTTAGAATGAACATAGCCAAATAATAATAGAATTCAGTCACTAATTAATGATCATTACCCGCTATTGTCTTTGTCGAAATGTTGGAAAGCAGTGTAGAGATGTTCTTCTCTGTCCATCCTGTTCAGATGCATTGTGGCTGTGATGAACTCATCGTAGTCAATGGTTCCATTCCCATCCGCATCAGCCTATACATATATATTGTCCATGAACAAACAAGGCCGGTTATAATGAGAAGAAAAAATGTTTATATATAGCTAGTAATGAACTTACTGCTTCCATTAATTGTTTGACTTCAGCTTCGGAAAGCTTGGTCCCTTGCTTAGCGAGCCCTTGTTTGAGTTCCTCGAGGGTTATCGTGCCGCTGTTGTCTGTGTCCATGCCCTTGAACATCTCTTTTAGTCCCATGATTTCTTCCTCTGATAAGCACCCAGCAATAACCTAGGAACCATAATATCAGCAGATCAATCAGTCAATATTTTTTTATTTATTTTGCATGTATGCGTTGCATGCAATAGGATGATATGTTATGATTCTACGTACGTACCCTTAGAGCAACTTTCTTGAACTTGTTCATGGCTTTAAATTGCTTGAGTCTACCCAACACGGCATTGTCAAGAGGAATGTCAGGTGCTTCTCCATCCACTTGGATCCATGGATGATCTTTATAATATCACAAAATCCCAAAAATAAATTATGAATTCTTGCAAGTTCAGGAAACATATTACTAATGTTATGTACATGTTGCATGCGAAGCCGACTATACTGCTTACAACACCACCTGTATAATTACAGTGCCCACAATAGTACCATTAGGTGTTGGGCGCTTCGTTATCATTAGATGGACGCGTGACATTTTGTTTACAAAATTGTTACCATGATTAGGTTAGCTATTTGGTCCGGGATCGGATATAAAACCGAAAGTCGGACCGTATAACCCGGACCTTTTAAGACCGGGACTGGATGTAAAATAAAAAATCCCGTCTTCGGTCCTTGTATTAGCAAAAAACTCGGACCAATGCAATCCGGGTTAAAACCGTATAAAACCGGAAGACCGGATAACTAAAAAACTGACTCAAAGACAAAGCCCGTCCAGACCCAAAGGCAAGGCCCATCTGGGCCCAGAAGAGCCCACTGCCCCTTCCCCCAGCGGCCCAAGCGAGGTGAGCCCGCTCTGTGATAAGTGATTACTGATGTAGGGTTGTACACTTGCAGCGGCGCTCTCCCTCTCCAATTTCCTTTCCATCGCTACGCCTCCAATCACAAACGACAACTGTAGAAGTCCGAACCCCTAACCCTTTCCATCGTATAAAATCGCGACGCGACGCCGGCCTCGGCTCCCTTCTCTCCGTCCCAGGTCGCTCCGCTCCGAACAGCGACCATGAGTCCATAACCCAGCGACTGCGACCGGTTGTCCAGCATCTCTTCACCGACCTAGCGACCTCTATCGCCGACTAGCATTTCATCGCCGACCTAGCGACTGCGACCGTCAACTAGCATCTTGTCGCCCTCCGTCCCAGGTCGTCGACCTCTGTTCACATCTCGTCACCGTCCGTCGAAAATAGGTCAAAACCGGACTGGGATCGACCCCGGCCAAAACCGGCCAGGATCAAAACAGGACTGTACCTAATCCAATCTTTAGTCCCCATATTTTCAAAAAAGACCGAACTGAGACTGGGTCAATCCGAGCCAGTTTAACTGGCCCGGACCGTATAGCCAACCCTAACCACGGTCATCCAACGACAACAGTGTGTCCAACACTTGATTAGATGGTCGTGAATGATATAAAGTCGTTCATATAGATGGTGTTATAATCATTGTAATCGAATTTTGTTGCATGCATATGGTTTGGAGGTATGAAGAACAAAAAATATTTCTTACTTAGTACTTGAGAAGCTGTAAGCCTCTGTTTAGGATCCGAGTTGAGCATTTTTCGAACAAGGTCCTTGGCTGGTGGTGAAATTGAAGGCCATGGATCACTCGTGAAATCAACATGACCACGTAGAATTGCGTTGAATATTCCGTGCTCAGATTCTACAATTAATTTAATCAATATCAAATTCATCATTCAAAAAATATCTCAAGTTAACGTTGGAATGCATTGAATATGCTATCTTTCTACAAATGGGTAGCACAAGGATCTCCAATGCATGTTGTGTCTTTTAATTGGCCTACGAATTGATAATAAGTATAACACTATAATCCCTATGCAGTGTGTAATAGGTACCCTCTGCCCATGGACGTAAAGCTACTAGCACTAAACGTCCAACATCATATAAATACATGTTCATGCTTGTTTTGAGGATTGTCTTCGCTATAATGGATAACGTATAAGAGTATCAAATTTTAAATGGTACTATATATTCATATATATCACAAAATATTTACCGGCCCAAAAAGGAGGAACACCACATAGAAGAATGTATAACATGACCCCAACGCTCCATATATCGGCTTCTGGCCCATATTTCCTCTTCAACACTTCTGGTGCTATGTAATATGCACTTCCAACAATGTCCTTGAACACTTCCCCTGCGTAAATACAAAATGAAATAAGATAAAAGAAACACTCGCAGTCGCAGGAATGAAAGAAATGCAGTAAATTATCCAACCAATGTTTAAAAATAGCGAACCCCAAATAAACCTGGTTTATAAAACACAGACAACCCGAAATCGGTGGCCTTAAGTGGAGAGCTCTCATCCTTGCTAAGGAGGAGGAAATTCTCGGGCTTAAGATCTCTATGAATGACACCCATGGAATGACATGTGTACACGATCTGAACAATGGTCCTCAACAAAGAAGCCGCGGCTCGCTCCGTGTAATGACCCTTGGCAATAATCCGATCAAACAACTCACCGCCGGCGCACAACTCCATGACCAAATGAACCGAGTGCTTGTCCTCGTAGGCCCCTTTGAGCTCAACGATGTTGGGTTGGCCGGTCAGATGGTGCATGATCTGGACCTCCCTTCTCACGTCCTCCAAGTCCTCTTTGTTCACCAGCTTCCTCTTGGCGATGGTCTTGCACGCCAACTGCTCGCCACTCGCCTTGTGCGTGCACAAATGGGTCACCCCAAATTGGCCTCGCCCGAGCTCTTTCCCGATGGAGTAGGTCGATTTCACATCCTCCATCGGCCTCCCTAGTACAGGGCCGATGGGGGCATTTTTGGAAGGCTTGGGGGAGGCGTGAGGCGGGCCCGGTGACGGTGGTGCCATCTTGGATCCGTCTCCTCCGCCGTTGCTACCACCCTGCTGCTGTTGTGTGCCTTCTTCCTTTTCTTCATTGGAGGCGTCTCCTTCTTTGCCCCTTGAACAACAATTCCCCATTTCTCTCCAATGATAATACTCCCTGAGAAAGGAGAGAAGAGAGAGAGGGGGAGGGCGGAAGAAAAAAAAGGGCGATGGGTTCTATTCGTTTTCCTTCTCTTTTTTTTTTTCTCTATTCTTTTCCTTGCGGGGGTGGCAAATGACAAGCGGTAAAGAAGATGGAAGTATTGGGGGGGGGATCAAAGAGTCATGAGGTGAAAGAGGGAAGAAAGAATCGATCGAGGGGGGCTAGAGAGAGGGACTACGACGTGTGTGTAGAGAGAGAAAGTAGGGATATTTTTATTTGTCTTCTCATCTTTCGTTATTTTCCATTGTTTTAATTTGTTGGAAATTATTTTGGAAGTTGAAAGAAGATTGATGGCGAGGAATTGTAGGATTGGATGAGGTAGTGTTGGTTTAAATGATGCTCGGTCTTTTTTACGGCCCATATATAAAGAAGGGGAGTAGGAGGGTTTTGATTATTAGTAACTACATATATCACTGCATGCATGGAAGGGGTTAGTATGTTTTGTGTGCGATTATAATTAAATGGAGCTTTCTGTCTGTCGCGATATGATAGCGTTTAGATCAGGGCTGCCAATCCAACGACCACAAACAAGCAGTTCATTGACATATTCATACAACACACTAGAAGATAGTCGATCATGTATGCTAACTGATGTATTTATAGGCAACCTCTTCTGATCAACATGTCAAGTTGGGCTTATATTGGTTTGGTATAAGGTTTATGTCCTACAGAAATAGTTTTTTGCTTTCTCTATATGCCATGGTGGTATGGACTCATAACTAGGCATCCCTAGCCTATACTCGGAGGCATGCTGGTTAGGCATTGTCACAAAACAAATGTAATTTTTGAGGAAAAATATATATACCCCTATGTATGTTTATGTCAAGGATTAAACCCACCACATTGAGATTTTAAGAGTGTTCTTAGATTGACACAAAATTAATCTATTACACTATAAATAAAATTTCAAATTGGAATAAATCTGTAATCCGATCATTTTTCTCCTAAAGAGGTTTTATGGTTGCTGAGATATTTGCTGGATTGAAAACAATCAATGTATTATCTCGAGTAATGGTGGTGACAAAAGTGTATCAGTCATATCTGCCAGCTTATTACCTTATGAAGCTAGTTTTAGTTCTACTAGATATAATTGCAAGTGTAGAAAGAGGCTTCCCAGCTTTGAGTTACATCAAGAACAAATTTTGAAGTTGAATTGACGACCATTTTGCTAATGATTGTTTAGTGAGATACATCGAAAGAGATTTACTTATGTGCAGACAAAAAATGTATTTTTCATAATAATTAAGAAAGTGCGTCGGGCTTGTTTATGAAAACAATGGTTACATTAGTTAGTTATTTATATATATCTTAATTATTTTATATTATTTTTTAATTATATTTATTAACTTATTTATTATATTTGAAAAGTGAAGAGAATGAGCGTCTCTATGTGGCATGAAAACACCTAGTGTTATGAAGATAAATATATAAATTTAAGTGTTATCACTGCATGATCAAGTTCTCAATAAAGAAGGGAGACCAATGAAGATTATGTGGAGAAAGAGAAACTCACCCCAGAGAGCTCATGTGATGAGGATGATCAGGAGCGTCTCGTTGACAACTCTCAAAACTTTCTCCTTCCCAAGACCAAATTTGAAGACCAAGTCACGAGGGTAAAGGAACAAGAGAACCCTTTCAATATCTTGCCCTCTAAACCGTGTTTGAAGACATGGAGGGGAAGATGTTAGAAGAGGGTGAAGAGGAGGAAGTGAGTGTAAAACAAGAGGAAGATCTTGATGGTTTCCAAGAGGAGGGAAACAAATTAGAGGAAGAAATGGAGGTTGAAGGAGAAAATGGCGTCCAAGATGGGGACGAGATCAAGGTGGATGAAGCGTCCACGAGTTGCGAATGCTACCAAAGCTTTCCACCCGACCTCGATGCACTACTCGAGAAGGATCCGTTTGTGGTTCTTTGCCAAGCCAAGGCCAAACCACCATCGATCCCTCATGGTGGATTAGATGGTGGTAACCCACAATGTCCTACATGGTATGGGTCAAAGAGAAGAGAGAAGAAGGGGTCTCGTGGGTGGAGCCTCAACTCATACCAAGTCCACGAGTCGTGCATCATCATCACATTTCACACCATTTTCTGGTAACTTGCACCTTCACATCACGAACGAGAACCTCAATTTCAAGGAAGTTTTGGGGTGGAACGAGACTTAAGAGCCACCGTCCGGCTCACAACTTTAAACAAGCGTTTGTTGGGAGGCAACCCAACCTTTCGGTTTGCATTTCATTTTCCTTCAATAAATTAACCCTTGTAAGATTGTGGTGTTTGGTTGTTGACTTTCTCGATGAGTCTTGCCCGTTCTACTAGTCCCTCCACTATTGTTCACACTTGCTACCCTCCTTATCTCTCCTCTATCGATGACAATGTCGTGCTTAAGTGTGGAGGGGAAGTGTGTGCATATATTTGTAATTGGCGTGTGAATGGCCAATTTGAATGCTTTGCAGCTTTGTGATTGCCAAAATTTTACTATTTGGGGGCTCCAAGCCGTTGTAAATGATTGAATGATGTATGTTCGATATTGAGATGTGTGTAGGAACTTAAATTCTTGCTTTTATTGAAAATTCTAGGGGTTCCGAACTCAATTGTCCCAAGCATGAACTTGCTAAGTGTACTTTGAATTGTTTGATGATTATGATGGGGTGCACTATAGGGAATATATTGGTGCTACAAAAATACTTTATAATGAGTGGCTTTACTTCTATTTTCTTTCGCATGTTTGAAAGTGTTTGCTATGGAGGTTAGGACATGTGTGTGAGACTCCCCAACTTTGGACTCCAAAAAGTTTTTCAATGGTTCTAGTGATCAAATCGTTGATCTGGTTCAGTTCTCTTAACGAGGATAATGTAATCTTTATAAATACCTACACTCACAACTGATTCGGGTCGAATTGTACACATTTTATCCCGTTTTCCTTAGACGATTGGTACTCCATGAGGTGTGGTTATACGCTAGGTTGCACTTTGTTTTAGTATGTTTCAGATCCTAGCAGGTGAAATTGACCTCGGAACCAAAAGTGGGACGAAAAGGAGCAAAAATGAATCAAATGGTGGAAGTAGTTGAGGATCATGACGGAAGCTGAGTTTTCACAGTCGTATGAACCATGAAAAGAGAGTCTAGACCGTGAAGCGCCAAAGTTCGAAAACAATTTGTGCATCTCATTGGAGCCCAACCAGTTCACGATCGCAAGACCGTGAACTCCAACCCCAGATCGTGAAGTGACTTAGTGAAACAGTGCGAATCTGCTCGACCTCACGGTCTAGGATGAATGTTCACGACTGTAAACTGGGACCGTGAACATGCATCAATCTGGGTATAAAAGTGGAAGTGAGCTAAAGGCGATAAGGGAGCTTTTGGTAGAGTTTTAGTTTTCAGAATAAAGGAGGGCTTCTCGTGAGAGATTAGGGTTTCCTCTTCCTATTCTAGAGAGAGAAAGTGTCATTCAAAGGAGGAAGAAGGAGATGTGGTCTTGCCATAAACTAGAGGATTGAAGGTTTCTTCTTCTCATGGGAGAATCAAGCAATAAGGAAGGAAGATAGTCATCTCTTCATGGTTCTTTTTCTCATTTTTGTTGTTTTCCCTTGCCTAGCTATGGAATAGCCTACCTAATCACTTGGGTATTGTGAATCTTAGTCTAGATGTGTGTTAGGATGTAAGAACTTGATTCTATTATGTTGATTGTGTGTTCTATATAATATTTGAGGTACTAATCATGAATGATCAAGTGTTGCTTATCTGATCTCATTATTGGGTCAAATTAACCTAGAATGTGGAAACCTCCTTTTGGCCCATAGGGAGCTTGATCTCCTAAGTCCTAGCCACTTGGGTAACCTATATTGGGTTGATCTAGGGCCAAAACCTTAAGTATCGGAGTATTATCATGATTTCGGCGTGATTGAAATCTCTGCCGTCCAAATTAACTTCCGATGGTTGGGTCTTGCAATCCTTAGTTGATTAGTTAAGAGGGCTAGATTGCCTGACATATTGTTGTCATCCTTAGCCAAAAGGTTAAGAGAGTTAGTCTACTAACTTAATGAAACAATGCTTAAGTGGTCAACTAAGAGAGTTAGGGTTTTCTCGGTTTGTTCGATCAAGAGAGCTAGGTTCGCTAGCTTATTGTGGCAATCTTTGATCGATCGACTATGAGAGCTTGTTCCTAGCTAGTTGCACCCGTCTCACGGTGTATTAACACGTCCTTCACACTAGGTTTTCGTCCATTGTTTCTTATCATGAGACTAGAGGAAGCGATACCCAAGTGGAGTCCTCTCATATAGAATTCTCCTTGATTTACTTTCCATGTTTGTGTAATTTGTAGTTTTCTTAGTTTTAAACCCAAAACCGTTTGTTAGATAACAACCTAAGCGATTGAAGTAGGGGTACATGAATCGGCACGGGTTTGATAATTAAAACATATTTGCCCTATACTGCACCGGGCTAGAGTTTATGCTTGGGATCTAGTAGGGATTTAATTCTCGGTGTAGTCCGTGCAAGTCAATAACATAACCATCTATTATCATAGGAGCTCCGACAATTTCGCAGTGGCAATTTTCTTCATTGAGTGACTAAGATTAGGTTTCAAGGGAATGCCAGCGAGGAATCTGTCGTTGGTTGGAGAGAGCCAACAGAACCCTGCATAACCAGATGCAATAGCTGGAAAGCACTTGCCTCCCATTAGCTCGTCCTCCCCTATCCCAAAGGGGAGCGCGAGACCCAACATGTAAAAGAACGTGTTAAACCCATGGTTTCCAATCTAGAAGTCAGGGTAGACATGGACGAAGATATACAAGATAAGGGAATGTATCATGGTATGCCCAAGGATCACAAAAAATCAAAATTGGGGTTTGGGACAGCATAGATGCAGAGTTTGATGAGGAAGACGAACCATTATGCATGGCCATCCATTTCACCGCAATAGAGTAGCAGAAGTTCTGCCTGCCATGTCGATCAGCCCTCGTGGTAAAAGTTCTGGGAAAATCTGTATGTATCATATATGACCCTATCAAATCACTTAATTTTTATATGGAAAAGGCACGAGGACT